TGTATGTATGTATGTATGTATTTATGCAATATGTCAGGTTAGACATCAGCACCTGTCTAGTAGCTGTTCTTGTACTAAAGCTATTAAAAAAGAGGTTTTTTTCTTGCCATCAGAGATATTAAAAATGTTCTTATGTATGAGAAAACTGGCCTTACCTCTTCTTCATCCCACTGGTACATATTCCAATGATTGACAATTTTAGCTCTGTGTCGCTTCCATACCTCCAAAAATACAGTGGCTGTACATTAAGGACAAATAAGATAAAGAGGGAGGGAGGGAAGGAGGGAGGGAGGGGGGAACAAGAAAGTAGGGAGGGTGAGACAGAGAGACAGCAAACATACCATTTTCAATCTCTTCCATGAATCCTCCAATTCATTTTATAAAATTTATAGAAGGCATTTTAGAGCTACCACAACTGTTTATAAAAGCTATACCAAGATCTGTGCCTAATGCACAGAATTGATTGCAAGCAAGGTAACTTAGTATGCTTCTCCAAGTTCCATGGAGTGCATTTAAAACAAAACAGTAGCTATTACTTTCAAAAAGTATATTAGGATATATAAAGATAATGTTTCCTTTGAGTCAAGCCTGATGCCTACTGATATCTTTGGTCATATGCCACAGGGAAGTGGCTTGCTATTCATATCCTCTGCCTTTAAAAGAATATATATATTAATCTATGTGACAGCCTTGGTATTTCCCAGTGGTCTCCTATCCAACTACTGCCCAGGTCCATTGAGATCAGCCAAAGTATGCAGAGGATATATATTTCTAAGGGAATGTTAAGAATATAATGGAACATATACAATGATTTGTTTCCCATAAGATACTGCATATTTTCTTAGCATAATAAGAGATTAAAAATATTTTGGCAATGAAGAGGAGAAAGGATTGTCCTGTGGACAGAAAAGGGCTTATATTTAAACAGGATTTCTCATGAAACCAATCTTCTGCAAGCTTACCCCAGACAGTCATGAACATTGCAAACAGAACTGTCCCTTTATTGTCAACCACACGGGTGATCTAAAAGGTAAAAAGAAAAAAAGAGAAGAGGTAAATCACTAGAGTTCTTTGGAAAACAGTATGTGGCTTTTTTTCCACAATGTTGCTTTTTGTCATTCTGCTTTCTTTGATCACATATGCCCCACTTCCCCTGTGAACATGGATGGGTGGGCCATTCAGCTGCGACACGGATCATAAAGACATCATAAATTCTTTTCTTATATTTAAGTGAAATATAACTGTAAGTGGTGTTCATTATTTCTGGTTCTAGTTCCTGTAGCAGCGGAAAATGGATTCCTATTCATGTTCCCTATGGCACCTTTTTACATACATAGAATAGAATGAGCTGGAAGGAACATTGAAGGTCTTCTAGTCAAGCCTCCTGCTCAAGTGGGCGAACCTATACCATTTTATGAATATATGAATACAAATATAATGTCACTTTCTTAGTCTTATTTTTTTCAGATGCACCACCCCATGTTCCTTCAGCTTCTCCCTTTAGGGTATCTCCTCAAATCTCTTCTAGCCGCTGCTTCACAGCGCTGCTTCATGTTCAGCTTGTTCAGGTCAATGTCCACACCTAAGTCTCTCTCCAATATAGCATTTCAAAGCCACATATTCTCTATCTTAAGATGCGTGCCCCACATTTCTCCTCTCTAAATATAAATCCTTACAATTCTCCCTTTTATACCTAGGATATCTTGATTTCTCAGACCAATTTTCCAAACTGTCCTGTTTAGACTGAAATCTCATTCTCTTATTCTGAATGTTAGCTTGACCTTCCAATTTTCTCTCATCCTCAATTATGCTAAGCAGCCAATCAATGCCTTTAGCTAGGTCGTTAAATTAAAATGGTGAGTAATACTGGTCCCAACATAACTGGCTATGTCTCCCCAATTTAATGTAAAGTCCATAATTTTTATTGTGTGAGTGTGTTAGCTAGCCAGTTGTGGATCCCCTATGCTGTCATAGCATCTAAATTACTCCTTAACAGCCTGGCAGTGAGAATGTAATGTGAAAACTTGTCAAAACTTTTCCTGAAACTGAGGTTGATTACATACCTAGCAGTCACATTATCCACTAAAGGGAAATCTCTTATGATCTATTTTGGACAAAGTAATGCTGATTTCTAGCAATCATGTCATTATCTTGGAGATATTTTTGAAGGAGCATTTGAGGGTCAAGCAAAAGACTATACATTGAACTCATCAAAACACTCATGGAACTATATGGNTTTGAAACCCACCACTGCTCTGTGCCTAAAAGGTTCACCATCACTGGTCTAGACACTCAAGTGAGTATCTTAACAAAGACTTGAAGCATGTATATCTCAAGGCAGCATGGATGCATATTAGAATGTGCATGACAATTAAGGATAATTCTTCTGTGCTAGTCTCATTCATTTGATAAACCTTCTTTCTTCTAGGGCTAATGTAGCATTTTAGCTAAATAAACAATTCACAAAAATAGATAAAACTAAGTACACCAGCCTTTTCTAGGGCAAACTACAAAATATCGTGGCTATTTGTAGATTGTTTTAACTTATTTTTAATTTTGGACATAAACTGCTTGAAATAAAATATTTCCTCCTGGTCATTTGACAGCTAATTCCACGGTAGTGATTTGGTTGGCTTGTTGGGAAGGTGTAAATATCCCACTCAAAAACCAGGTTTGCATTATTTGTCAATTCTCAGGTGATGACAAAAGAAATTACTTTTGCCCAAATGGAGCAGTTGAGTCAGCTGCACGTATAACCATGTCGAGAAAAAGCAGACTGGATTACCTGACTTGTGCCTTAGGGAGAGAAACTAGATTACTGCAAACTAAATCATTCATATCTGCCTTTGAAAAGAGTTTGGAAACTTCCAATGATTTAAAAGACCGCTGGCACCAGTTTTAAAAACAGATTAATGTGATCTGTATTCTAGCTCCACTCATTGCCTGAATATTCTCAGGTGTAATTTACCAGTCTTCAGTATTAGCCCTAAATCAGAAGATGGAGAACCTGCAGTCCACAGATGACAAATCATCACTCCTGTTGCCCTCAATCATTAGCTCTGCTGATTGGGAGGGAAATTTCAGGTAGGGGAAGGTGGCTTTAACAATGAAGGCAGGGATTTATTTATTTGATTTATATTCCATCTTTTTTGTACAGGAGCTCAAGGTGGCATACGTAGTGTACCTTTCTCCTGTTTGCCTCCACAGAGGGAAGGAGGGAAGGCTGAAAGAGACTGACCTGGCCCCAAATCATCCAGTGAGCTTCCATGGCAGAGGGGGGATTGCAACACAGCTTTCCTTGTTCCTAGTGTAACACCTTTAACTACTACACCACACTAGCTCACCAGGAGGTAACTGGTTTGGAGTCTCTCCTTGCCCCAGAACTTCAGTTAAAAAGAACCAAACAGCAAGCAAATCTGTGTATGTGTGTAGATTTTCCCCCCTCCCTGGAAGCAAACCTGATCCTGACCGGCCCCCTCCACAGGAGCTGCAGCGAAGAAATGACACAAGAGAAAGAACATGGGGAGTAAACACGCAAAGATTTGAACAGTCATTAGATGACAATCCAGGAGTTCTGTATACTGTTCAAAACGTTTTCTGTAAGAAAACATGATCTACTTCTGAGTGGAATTTGAACCTTGTCATCCTACAAACATCATCACACTGCTTCCAGTCCACCACACTGCAATTACAAACAAAACACTGAACCCTAAGAGCATCAGATTGCTTTGTCTGACGTGACACTGCTAAAAAACAAAGTACTTTTTTCAGTTCATCACAACATTTGTACTCATCAGAAAGCTGGGTCAGCTTATGGGTATGGTTACATGTACTACAGGATGAAGCCTTCCCACGGTGGGGTGTGTCTCTATATGAATAATAAAACTGACTGATGATCATAGCTGTGAAAAGGACACGGCGACAGTGAAAATAAAATACAAATGGGTTATATTTACACTAATAAAGGGAAAGATCTTTTCATACCTTTGGTATTTGGAATTTCTGTGTTTTGAAGGATAAAACTCACAATACGTATCCTAAAACATACAAGAACCGAAAAAACAGCAATGCTAGTATAAACTGTTCAGAGGCAGAAATAAATACAACTGTCGTTATCCATGATAGAAAAGTATTTCTTCCTAGTATAGAGATTCGTAAGGCATATAACTTGTATCCTGAAAATCTTTTAACTTTTTATCCCTAACTCTGATCCTACTTTATCCTGCTGATGCCAGTTAGAGAAAGAAGAGCAAATAGATCCATTTTTGAGAATTAGGGGAAGGAGGCAGCAGCTCACCAGGAGCATTACCAGTGAAGAAGCTGTAAGGATTGACTTCCCTATTCAGCCCTTGCTTGAAGTTTTTAGTTTGGTTTGTTTGATTTGTTTTAAAAAGCTTCCAGTTCTTTTTCTGTATTCTACATTAGGGGTCCCCAATCATTCTGAACTGGGTCGCACAAGGGCGGGTGAGTGAACACGTGCGTGCAGCTCCATTTGCATGAGTGGCGAATGGGTAGGTGCACTTGCAAAGCTCCACTTACGGGACAGGCAGGCATGTGCCCACGCTTGTCCAAATGGAGCTGCACACACACATGCCAGCCACTCAAACAGAATGCTCCCCCACCCCTGCTGGTCCACCAAGCCGGACAGGTTAGGGACCGCTGTTCTACACAGTAATCTACAGTAGTTTCCATCTACTATCTAGTAAGGGCAAAAACCTTAGCAAAAATCTCTCTATTAGTTAACATTATCTTTAAATGAATAGCATTGATATCTCTGCAGTTTTGAAATGACTTAGAAAGTCACACCCAACTGATCCTCACCCCTCAACTACAATTAGAAGTTCTCAGTTAAACTAAGCAATAGCCAACTCTGCCAATCCAAACATTTTCTTCAAAACCATTTCCCCACTAATTTATGACCTCATGACTTCTTAATCATGTGGACAGCAGCTTCACTTGAACACAAACTGTATGCACCGGTTGGTTGGTTGGTTGGTTGGTTGGTTGGTTGGTTGGTTGGTTGGTTGGTTGGTTGGTTGGTTGGTTGGTTGGTTGGATGGATGGATGGATGGA